CGTCAAAAAATGTTAATTATTATTTTAATTTACATACAATTCTCCTTTCTACCAATTCCAAAAAATGTCACCATTTCGAACACCCATAACAACAATAGTTCCCAATACAGGTATGAAAATTAATTTATTATTAACAATTTTTCCGCCTTCCCTGGCAATTGTCCGCGCCTCACAGGTTGGAGACCGAACGACTCCAAAGAATCTCGTTCCGAGTGAATGCATCGCGATTCAACAGAGCCAGCGTGCATGTCATAAACTCCGAACAATCGAGCACTATTGCACGCAAGCACGCATTCTTCTGATATTCTCGTTCGACATTGAGCCGTCTTGTAATCTCTCCCGCGCTTTCCCCGGTAACTCGCGGACCAACTATTCGATCAACAACGAGGTCCGGTTTCGGCGTGGGATTCTTTTCTCCGCCGTGAGTAATTCGTTGGGTTGCCCGGAAAGTTCCTGTCGATTTTTGGTAGGTGGCGTATGGTGACGTAAATTTCACCAATTTTGGAAATATTGTTTTGCAAACATTTTAATGATGACAAGGATTTTGGGAAATAGGATGTTAATATGTCTGAAAATTATTGGTGGAATATATGTAGAAATGGATTTTAATACTGAAACTACCATGGGTCAAATTTGACCCATTTTGGAAATATTGTTCATCATCAAAATAGGATTACAATCGGAAAATAAAATATTAATATGATCGCTAATTATTGTTGGAATACATGTACAAATGGATTTTAATACTGAAACTATCATGGGTCAAATTTGACCCATTTTGGAAATATTGTTATCCAAATATTTAAAAAATGTTAAGGCTTTTGGGAAATAAGATATTAATTATTGTTGGAATGTATGTACAAATGGATCTTAATACTGAAACTACCATGGGTCAAATTTGACTCACGTTGAACTAATTGTTTAAGTATTTAAATGACGACAATGCTTTCGTGAAAAATCGTAAAATAAATTTGTGTATTTGTATGATACAATAGTAAGGGACTCATCAAATCTCGAAAAATATATTGATATGTTTATATATAATATATAAATTATTTATATATATATATTTAAAATACATTTCTCGAAGGGAGACACCGGATCCTCGCCGCGGATTTTCCCTAATAACCGCACATTCTGGGCCAAACGTTTTCGTCGCCGAACGTATATTTTCGTAATGACACTCGTATCTAGGCCGAGTCGCGTAAACTTTGTAGCGCTATGAAATGGTCCTTGAAGGTTAACGGACCGACGAGCCGTCCGTAAATTCGGACTTTTTATTCGCAACGTGAAATCGTCCAGGAATTTAATGGGAAATCTCAGATGTGGATTTTTAACATTTTTTGTGGAGAACAGTGCGAATGTTTGGAGGTGGGAATTTTGTGGGTGTTATTGTTATAGGTTAATTGGGGTTTGTGAATTTTTTTAGATGTTTTTATTTAGAAATATAATTTTTTAGTGTATAATTAATGAAATCTTAAATTTTGATTTTTAACATTTTTTTGTAGAGAAAAATCTGAATGTCTTTCAGTGGAAACATTGTGAATGTTTGTTAATTATTGTTTATTAATTATAGGTTAATTAGGATTCCTGAATTTTTTTACTTAATTTTATTTTAAAATACAATTGTTAGTGTTCGTAGATTAACATTTTCCAAGTCTATAAATAAGGAAATCTCAAATGTGGATGTTAATTATTTATTAAGAAACAGTTCCTTTATTTTTTGACCTACTAATTAACGTAATTAATTTTAATAAAAAATTATATTAAAAATATATTATAATCAATATTCAATGATCGATTCAGAAATGTACATTTTCTATTTTCACTGAAATTTTTCAAACAGCTTCTCGTGTCCGGATAAATATATTCCCAGTGTATATTTTAAACATATTCACTAACGAAAACACACAGTATCTTTCTGGCGATTCGTTTTCCGACTGGAAACTAATTTCCCGTCAGTCTATATTTTATTTTTATATTCGCTCGAATTTATCGGAATTTTTTCGTGTCACGTTCGTTCGGCAGTTACATTTTTTTCGAGTTTCTCCGTCGGCCACGCTTCTATTAAAAAAAGGAGGAAAAATACATTTGAAATTTTAGTATGTTACACTGACAATTTATTTCTTATTTTATTGTTTCAATTTTTATGTTAAGTTTAATGTTAATGACAGAATGTTTTTTTATTTATTTTTATTTATTATAAATATATTGT